AAAAAATAGCATCAACCTACGTGTGTGTGTGTATATATATATATATATATATATATATATATATATATATATATGTATGTATGTGTGTATATAAACACAACCCATTCCAAAACAATTACTTGAAGCTGTCTGACTACCACCATCGCCCTAGACTTCTGACCAGCGCAACTCAAACAGAGGTGCCTTTGGAAGAACTTCACTCGGTGCCAATGTCCTGCCTAAATAATGTGTCAACTTTTGACTTGTTTGTCGTAGAGCTTTGACCTGGTGTTTCTTGTTTTCTTTAGTATATATCTTCATTATTTCTGTATTGTGATGAAATCTGAACAAATTATTATGCAGCCATGTTCAGTTGGCAGCTACAGCTTTGCCTATAACCGGAACTCAGGCAGCACCAAAGAAAGTTACAAAGGATGAACTAGGTAATGTAGCAGGAATTGCAGCAACTGCAACAGCCAGTGGTGGGAAATTTGACAAGAAATTGCCTGGTGAAAAGCCTGCAAAACATAAAGGAAAATATCGGAAGGTTGTGCACTGTACACTTTCAGATAACTGTTTGTCATAGCTATTATGTAAATTGTTATATGTAGAAGCACCCATTATTGACTATTGACTTCTTAACTTCCATTGTTTTGTTTTCATCTAGTTCCTGCCAGTGGTGGAAGGAACCGGGATAGGATCACAAGAGAGGGAGCAAACTGAAAAAATATTGAACAAGATCATCTCCAAGAATTCTCATAACATATTGAATGTTGAAAAGGTACAGTAGAAGTCTTTCAGTTAAATGGATTTCAATTTTTACCAATTTTATTAAATTTTTTTTGTCAAAATCGTGCTCTCTGAATTCTAGGCCGTCACAATGCACAATGTGAAGAAAGAAAAGAAGCGAAGGACCGAGAAAGGGAAGGCTTCACCAGCTGACAAGAAATTGAAAACCGAGAAAAAGTCTTTTAAAAAGGGAAATTTCAAGAAAGGCAAGGCGAAAGGGAAATAGTTTAGATTTTATTAAAACAAGTTTTGTAGAGTTATTGGAAACTCTGTTTACTGGTTTCAAGTTTTGTAGACTAATGTCATCAATTGATATCCTCTTTATTTACCATCTATATAAAATTAAATTAGATCTTTTAATTCACAAAAAAATGTTTTAATTTATCAAATTAACGAATAAATACATTGCGCGCGGCAGACATATTCACTCCGTATCTTTTCTGTCTAGAATTCCCGAGCAAGAGGCCCCTGAGCCAGAGAACTATCAGTGGATATTTAAAGTTCTTGAAAATAACACATTTTCTCAAACGTCACATGTCATTTGCTTTTGGGGCTTAAGACCAAAGGGCACTTGCGTGCATAAACTAGTATGTGCTGCGCATGCGACCAAATATATTTTTGCAGATTCCTTTAGGACAAATGTAAGTGGTGACTCGCAAGTGTTTTGTCTTCTAATTACATAACTTTTATCCAACTTGTGTGGCCAATGACGACCTTAATCCGACAGGAGAAAATATTTGGATAATTCAGTTTATTCAACAAGAAATAATCAGAACCCGTGTCACTAAGACGATTTAAGCATAGCTTTGCAAATTACACCTCTCTTACCTTCTTTATCTTCTTTGCCGATTCATAGATATAGACTGAATTTGTAGCTTCTGTTAGACAAATTCACCTCCTTTATTCGATATCTTGTGTGGCTTGGTGTTCATTGTTCTTGTTGAATTGAATTATTCGTTCTCAGCTAACTTGGTGTAACATCTCTTACATTCCCATATTATTGCATGCCCATTTGTTTTGAATAATCTTTCATTATAATACTTTCAAAGCTAAAATTTTAAAGAGAGAAGCAGTTCCGTATATCTGTATTGAAAACTAAGGATTCATGGGTAGAGGTAGGCTGCAAGTGCAAGGTGTTGAATTTGGTAACAAAGATCTACAAGTATGTTGTTCCGGAATCAAGTTTGAATGGGATTCTCTTGAGGGTAAAGTTCGTCCCACTAGCTTCTTTGCAAGCGTTGGTCAAGCAGGATTTGGTTTTGGGATTTCACCAAATCCTCCTGCTGCCACTACCAGAAAAAGTGGCACCAAACCATCCTTGGTCTATTCTTCTTCGAAATATGTTTTAATGCCTGAAGCTGGTCTTCGAAGCTCGGGTTCTCAAGGGTTATTGAGTGGCGAGGCAGTTGAATTTGATGAAGAAGGCCATGGTATGAAGAAGGAAAAGAAGACGAAGGCGTTTAAATTGAAATTTAAGATTGGGAATCCATCATTGAGGAGGTTGATGAGTGGGGCAATTGCTGGTGCAGTGTCAAGAACAGCTGTGGCACCGTTGGAGACCATAAGGACCCATTTGATGGTGGGGAGCTGTGGACGCAATTCACTTCAAGTTTTTCAATCTATTATGGAGACAGATGGATGGAAGGGCTTGTTCAGAGGCAATTTCGTGAACATTATCCGAGTTGCGCCTAGCAAGGCCATTGAGGTGAGTAAACATGATGTTTTTTAGTACTGTACATCATCATAGATGTGAGTTTTTTTTGGATATTTGACGTCTCCAACTTCTTTATCTCACATTTCCATTGTTTGGAAATTGTTTTCATTATCCATGGGAGATCAAATTATGTACTCCTAGTTATCTGGATGATGACTAAGGAATGCCAGGGACCCTCATGGACCTAACACACAAGATGACATGACTTTAACTTCTGAAATAATGAGAGTTCCATAGACCCTTTTGCTTCGGAATTGTCCTTTTTCTTTTCTTCATATATTAGATTAATATACAAATTTATCTGAGGGGTTTGTATTTGCATATTATTCATCACTTTTGTACTTCGATGTTGGGTGACTCATATCAATACAACTTGCGAAACTAGGAGTCAATCAGTACATTTTGTAATCTAAATTCCTTACATGAGCTATTGACATGTTGTGGAACATGCAGTTATATGCATATGACACAGTCAAAAAGCAACTATCTCCAAAACCTGGTGAACAGCCAAAGATTCCATTTCCTCCATCATCAATTGCAGGTGCTGTTGCTGGTGTTAGTTCTACCCTATGCACATACCCTCTTGAACTACTCAAAACTCGTCTTACAGTCCAGGTATGCACTCACAGCTCTTTGATTTATGCTCCAAGTGATGTAAATTTATGACAGTACTAAAAAAATTGCAGAGAGGGGTGTACAAGAACTTAGTGGATGCATTTGTGAGAATCATTCGAGAGGAAGGTCCTGCAGAACTGTACAGGGGCCTCAGTCCTAGTCTAATCGGTGTGATCCCTTATGCTGCAACAAACTATTTTGCTTATGACACACTTAGAAAAGCGTACAAAAAAGCTTTTGGTAAGGAGGAGATAGGGAATGTGATGACTCTTGTAATTGGATCAGCTGCCGGTGCATTTTCAAGCAGTGCAACATTTCCACTAGAGGTGGCTCGTAAGCATATGCAAGCAGGGGCTCTGAATGGAAGACAGTATGGTAACATGCTTCACGCCCTAATGAGTATAGTTGAAAAGGAAGGAGCTGCAGGTCTTTATAGGGGTTTGGGACCAAGCTGCTTAAAATTGGTTCCTGCTGCTGGCATTTCTTTCATGTGCTATGAAGCTTGAAAGAGGATACTCGTTGAAAACGAACAAGATTGAAACAGTTTGGAATTGGGAAATAATTTTGTTTTGCAGATTTTGCTTTCCCCTGCATATTACTTTTACCATTTCAACCAGCCTGTTTCCTTAAACCTGTGTTGATTTTCTTCCTAGGAAAAAAGTTATATTCACATTGCCTTATCCTACATTAGGAACCAAATTCTCAGCTCATTTTTAATTGTTACAGGAGGAGAGTTAGACCAGCCTCTCTTGTTATTCACATTATTAATTTTTATGCTTAATTTTTTATCGAATAATCGTTCAACCATTAAATTGAAATCTTTTATTCAAATCATTGAAATTAAAAACTGATCAATACTTTTGTAACCTTATTTTATTTTAATAGATAATAAATTATCTTTAAATTTTATTGACGCATAGATCTAAATTTTGTAAAATTTTATGCAAATGTTTTTGAAAATAACATTAAATTGTTTAAAGAATAGATTGGTTAATTTTTAAAAAATATTAAATGATAGAAGTATGAATACTTTGACATCTAAAGTTAATTGAATATTTTTCCCCAGAGCCTATTCTTTTATGACATTCACGATACAGTGAAATAGTTTTTTTTCCCACTACTCAATATAATAGCAATGCAACAACAACAATAGATTATTTAAAGATTTTAATTCTAATCCAAACTTTAGAAAGTAGTATCTTTTTGGATCCACTAATTTGATAATAAATAAAGAAAAAGGTATGGGATTCACTTTCTTTCTTCTTTGTGTCTTAAATTGATTGATGTAAAAAAGGGTTGTAAATATAGTTTGACATGGTTAAATAAGAAAGACAT